CATTCCTCTCCATAGTTTCTTCCTTTGAAGAAAGCCACGTGGACGGGGCACACGTGCTAACTAAATCCTTGTGCTTACTGAGAGCACACTGCTATTATCAGCTACGTGTTACCCTATACCTATCATCTATCTATCTGTCCGTCCATCCACCTACCAATCTGTTTGTATATGTAAATGTGTTCTATTTTTTATTGACTCAATAGGTGAATATATGTAAGTTTATCAAATACTTTCTTCACCAAATATTTATGATTACCTATGTGTGCCAGTCACTGTGTTTTTCATGTCTCTTCCCCCTAAAAAATGCAGACTAGAAAACATTGTTTTAATTCTTCATAACAATTTAGAAATCTTAGGTAAAAAATATGGAATATTAGAAGTAGTCAAAAGAGAAGTGGGCTCCTGTCATTAATTACTTCTTGGGACTTTGGGCATTTCCCTTTGACTGCGTTCATCGTAACTTCTTCATTTGTATAATGAAGGAAGAGGATCAGACAATCTCTTTTAAAAATCTCTCTGAGTACAAAATGCCACAGTTCCAAATATGGAAGTATTTTATAATGTTGGAAATTGGCAAAAATAGTACTTCTCCCAGAAGAACTTAATGATATCGATCTCATTCAGGTTATAGGCATTGCAATGTGAGAAGAAGGCACATATGGTACCCTCTAACCCCCACTTACAAATCTGAGAGTAGGCAAGAAGAAATCAGGTGTTCATAGAAGTGTCGTGAAGAAAACACACTTGAATGACCTTAAACATTTTACAAATGCAACACGCCATAAAATACAACTGTCAAATCATCACTCCTTGTCCACGGTCACTGGGAAAGGGGAGGACGAGAACGGAAACAAGACTTCCCAAATTCTAGTCCATTGCTTCATTCAGCGTGTTTCCATGTCCTCCAGGGCCAACCGTCAGTGTCCTCTGTAGTTTGGCCATTTCAAACTAACAGCTGACCAATAAGTTTTTCTCTTAATATTTCTATCAAACATATCCTTCACAGGAAGTTAACTTTATGAGAATATCTACAAATGGAGAAGTTTGGGCTGTTACCAATATTAGGTTTAGAGGCAAAGAAAATAAATGGTGTGAATCTATCAACATGCAACAATTTCTCTGACTTGTGACATCTGCTTTCCTATTTTTTCTTTCTTTCTTTTTTTTTTAGAAGAGTATGCACTGACTGAAAATAGTCATTTTTAAACTGACAAAAATAAAAAATAAAAAAGAGGACATATAGTCAGGACAAATGGTTTCTAAGTCAGTGTTGGAATATAACACATACATAAACCTTTGGCTAGACCACCCAACACTGGTAAATCTTACTTTAACATCTTGGTTAGTATTTGGTTGACTTAAATTACATGACTAATTCATATAAAGAATTTAACAATGAAAATAAATAAATAAGTAGAAAAAATTAAAGGTTATCATAATCCTACCATCCAGAGACAAGCATAGTTAACATCTTGTTGTATATCCTTCTAGTCTTCTGGAATGTACATTTACAATATACCTATATCTACGTCCATATATAAAATCCATCCCATACTCCAGACATATCTAGGTGTGCAAAGAGCTCAGGAGATCATTATGTTGACATACCTACCTGTGTACATCTGTATACTAAGGTGCCCTATTTGAAAAGCTCTGCTCTGCCTTTCCCATAAGTTTTCATTCATTTGAAACAAGCATCATTGGCATCACACGAAGCAACCTCGTTTCTTGGAAAGTCCTCATGCTTCGTATATCTGCTCCTCACTTTCAAAGAGCTGGCACAAGTCTAACTAGCATAAGTTTAACCGAATTCTGCAGAAATGCTGGGAAGCATAGAATTCTTTACTGACCAAGTCCCAGTTTTAAATAAAACCATTGTAATTGCATCCTTGCTGACACAGATCTCCTCTCCCTTCCCTGGACACTTGCACCAGGGTGGACAGGCCCAAATGTGGGTCCTAAGAAGGGCACTAAGGAATGGTGTAACCGAGGCTTTCTGATTGCAGAAGGAGGCAAGCAAGTGCTGCAGGCAGTACCAGCTCATTTCAGTTCCACAAACATGACTGACCCCTCCAAATATGTGCCAGGCATTGTGCATGAGCCCAAGACATGGCTTTTGCCCTCAAGGCAGCACAAGCTGGTTTGAAACAGACCCATATATGAATAGAATCAACATGGGAAGTACAGGCTGCTGCTTTCATTGGTTTAAGTTTCCCCAAGTTCCTTTAGGATAGGGACCACATCTATTCAACCTTTTACCTCTCCTCCACTAGACGTGCAGTATGGGGCACACGAAAGGTGCCGGGGCACTTTGCTGGTAGATCAACCTGACAGTAAGCTTCAGTGGTAGATGAGATAAATTTCCTGCACAGCTATGGTCTCCATAGGTCTTTGGTTATGCTAATTACACATACTTTCCCCTAATAAATGGCTAGAAATTCTGTGTGTCACAGTGGGAGGGCCCAGAAGGTGCATTCATTGCAGTAGCCTATCTCATCCCATTACTATCACTATGCAAAGGTGTTTCTACTCCAAAGGAAAATACAGTGTCACTAAACTCCAGGGAAAGAACAGAAAGGAACACGTTGTCAGTGGCAACCAAACTTAGCTTCCTTCATGAATCACTGTGGCCTCATTCTGACAGGTCCAGTTGCAGCCTAGCCCTAAACACAAGGCACAGTGACTCAGCTACGATGAGACTTTAGATGTTATTTTTAAGGGGGGTGGGGGAGGGGAGGGAAGTACAGAGATGCTTTATTAATTTTTCCTGAATTTTAATAGCCGAAACTAAATCTTCACTTTGACACTAGATTTCTAGAAAAATTAACCTGCCCCCAAAATTATGTAACCCTTAGAGTTTACTTTTTATATCACAGCTTGCCTATAAAAGTCACAAACCATTCTCATGGCAAAAATTTGTTTGATCAAAATGGAAAAGGGGAGTTTTCAGAAGAATCTGGGCCCAAGGGAAGCAAGTGCGGTGCAGTGGAAAGAACGCTAGCTTTAGAGTCAGAAAGCTTGCTCTTTGTTAGCTGAGTCACCTTGGGACTGAATGGCCGGGATGTGACCAGGGTTAGTGAGGCTGGGCCAGCTGTGCTAGATGGAGTTCCAGGGTGGGCCTCTGGGCATGGGTGGGTGTGCCTACCCTGCTGGTTTTGCACTTTGGAATTGGTGAAGGAAACTGTACTGACCCCAACAGACCTGTATAGATTCTACATGCTTCGGCGTGTCTTCTTCCTCTTGTCTGCCCGCTGCAGCGGCTCTGCTGTTTTCTAACTTTCACACAGCCACCTACTGACTCCCGGGTCTATTCACTCATCTTCTGGACTTTTTCCAACTCCTACCTTCTCTTGAGCTACCAGAACAGCACACATACTTTCCAAGCAGATACATAATATTTTTGTGGGAAAGTAGAACAATGTTTTCCCCAATTCCTTGTTCTCACAATGATCCGAATTTCGTTTCCTCCTGGCAGGGTCTCTGTCTTATGGGAACAGTCCACCTATAGTTAACTCTTAACTTTTATCCTTGGACCAAAGCTGATGGCTCACAAGTAGTCACCTCTCAATGCTGGCGTCCCCTCCACATCTTCAGTGGAGCAGCTATCTAACTCAGGGGAGCTCTCATGAGGTAAATGCTACTCTAAAAAGGGTTCATTCAGGGGCTGGCCCCGTGGCCGAGTGGTTAAGTTCGTGCGCTCCGCTGCAGGCGGCCCAGTGTTTCGTCGGTTCGAATCCTGGGCGCGGACATGGCACTGCTCGTCAGACCACGCTGAGGCAGCGTCCCACATGCCACAACTAGAGGAACCCACAACAAAGAATACACAACTATGTACCGGGGGGCTTTGGGGAGAAAAAGGAAAAATAAAATCTTTAAAAAAAAAAAAAAAAAAGGGTTCATTCAGTGGGAACATCTTTAAAAGGTTAAAACATCCTCCGTAAATGTGTGTTTGGTTCTCTGAATAAGTCCTTTCACATTTTTTCCAGAGCAAACACTCTTTTAGGTTGGAAGGCCAGGAAAAAGTAACACCCAAATTGGCCCTATGATTTTGTGAGGAAGTGGGGCAGGAGAGGAGGGAGCCCAGCAACCTGCAGAAATCTATCTCTCACAATGACCCTGGAAATAAGGGTTCTTTCTGTAACATTAGGAAGTTCCAAATTGAAACAGAGAACTGAATGGAATGCCAGTCTACTGCTGAGATTTCCTCTTGCCACATCACAGTAATCCAACGCCTGGATAGCTCATCAGCCAACTACTTTCAGCAACAACCCATCCAACTCTGGGGACAGGAAGAACAGAGACAGAGTGGGCGCAGCTATTACGTCATGTTCTGAAAGATGGGTCGTGGAGCCTCATTTTTATGGACGCTGAAACTTCCTCCTCCTCAGCTGCTGGCCAGCAACAGGCCATAAATTAGTTAAATTTAACTATAATAAACATGCTGAAAATGAATTATATTTAACTATAACAGCCACCTCAGGGTTTTCTCAAGACAGAATAATTTTAGCTTATGCTACCATAAGTCCCCTAACTAAGGCAGAAAGTAATTACCTAAGGATTTACCACAATGAGCTCACTGACACTCAGTATTTTATTACAGCGTGTGAACAGTCAAGTCTTTTATAGATCAGGCATAGACCGCAGATTGCAGAATATATGGTCTTGGGTGGGAACAATAAGAACACTAAAAATAAAAATGTTTCAGGCAAATACAAATTCAGTAAAGCCACCTGATTTCAGTCGTCATTAAGAATTAGCAGTAATTGTGCAGAGTCCCGGTTGAAACTTGACACTGTCAGTAGGCCAGGGCCTGCCAATAAAACGAACAATGTGAATTGGATAAGCTTTCTGAGAGAATAAGCTGCATGGAAACACTTAAAAAGTGTGTTTATTTTAAAAAAATGTAATTGGGCTTCAGTGCTGTACATGCTACTGAGAAATCACATTTATCTATCCATGAAAGCAGGATCTTACTTAGTAGCATTTGGTTAGGGGAACAGTTTGTGTTTCTGAAAGTACTGATAAGTAATAACAACTTGTCCAAAATGCCATTTCTTATAAAATATTCTGATATTCTACATTTCATTTATTCTGAATAATCTCCCCATTTAAAAAAATTCTCATTTATGCACTCACTTCTTACGCAATTATTACGCATCAGTTGTTGGCCAAGTTCTATAAATAAAGGACAGTAGGACACGGTCTCCACGCTCTAGAAGCTGAAAGTTGAGTAGGAGACACGGGTCTGTGAGACATGAGTTCCTGCAGTGTATCTGCGATGATTAGTGAGGTGTACCGCCTGTTCAAAACAAATTAATTGGTCAGTATTGATTTACGTGATCTGAGTAGAGAAACCTAACTATGACTGATCAATAATTAAACTGCCTATGGTGGGTCCTGGCCATTGAATGCTCTTTGTATAAATGTGCATTTGTGGCATAATCACTCATGTTTAGGTGCAAATACAGCAATCCCCCTTATCTGAAGTTTCGCTTTCCATGGTTTCAGTTACCCACTGTCAACTGCGATCAGGAAGCAGATGATCCTCCTTCTGAGTATGTCAGAAGGTCACCAAGTAGCCTGATGCTAAGTCACAATGCCTATGTCATTCCCCACTCCATCTCATCATGTGGGCATTCCGTCATCTCACATCATCACAAGGAGAATGGTGAGTGCAGTATGATAAAGTATTCTGACAGAGACCAAATTCATGTAACTTTTATTATAATATATTTTATAATTGTTCTATTTATTATTAGTTATTGTTGTTAATCTCTTACTGTGCCCAATTTATAAACTAAACTTTATCCTAGGTATGTATGTGTAGGAAAAACATAGTATACATAGGGTTCAGCACTATCTGCAGTTTCAGGCCTCCACTGGCACGAGGGAATGTATGTCCCGTGGACAAGACGGGATGCTGTATCGTTAACATGCTACATTTAATTTGTGTATATAATCTGTGAAGCTTCATGTTTTTACATCTTGCCTCATTCTACAAAGGAGTTAATGAGGCTTACCGAAGAAAATACACAATAAAATAATGTTCGAATATGAATAAAAATAGAGAATGAACATAAGGGGTGGCATGAGAGGTGGGATGTTACTGACATCTTTCTCAAGCCAGACTCCTACCCGCTGCTTCCCCGTGCCGCCTCAAGGGCCACGAGCACGCACGAGGGTCTCAGGAGATCTGAGGTGTGGGTTCAGAACAAGGGAGAAGTGTGCTTCAGCCAGCGCAGGCCCTCTTCTCCTCCACCAGCTCTGGACGGGGTGCTGGGTGCTCCTGAAGCCCACAGGGTGCTACCCTGGCAACCCTCAGCTAGCTTTCACCCTCTGCTTGGCTCTCAGGACCCTGACAGGCAGGAGTGACTTGCAGGGCAGGATTTGGTAACTCTTGAGTTCTGGCTGAAATACCATATAACAGCATCAAAAACCTCTCCTAACACGGAACAATACGGGAAGGGGACTATTAATAAGAGGAGGACTGCTGCGATCAGGGAGAAGGACACACAAAGAGCGAGCAGTGAGCTTCTGCACAGAGGAGCTGAGCTTCAAATCTGGCTCTGAGCCTTTCCCCAGCCAGGGTGAAGGAGGAAATGGTGAGTTACAAAATTCTTAAGATTAAATTTACCTGTACTTTAAGGTAAGCTAAGTTTCTCCTGGCTTTACATGTTTCGTAGGGGGCGTTGAGCGAAATAATGGACAAAATCCTCAATAATCTTCCCAGTGTACGTGCAGTAACCCATTTCATACAGCTGTTTCTTACAGGATCCAAGGATGGAGTTGAGTCCACACCACTCAAGTACCTCCTAGTGAAGGCAATGATATGGGAGGCCAGAATAACATGGTCTGTTCGATGGGTGACTTCCATTTATCCCTCCAGGATTACTCTTTCTTAGGAGGACAAGAATTAACATTAGCTTGTTGTTGCAAGTACTACACTAGGAATAGTATATTTAGTATTAAAATATAACCCTCTTGAAAACACTACGCAGTGAGTACTACTATCTCCATTTCTACCAGTGAGAACACTGAGGCCCAGAGAAGTTAAGTAACTTGCTCAAGGTACACAGCAACTAAGAGGTAAAACCAGAATTCAAACTTGGATATGTCTTCAAAGCCATAATTTTTGCTTCAGCTGTTTCTACACAAAGAATAATAGATTAAATGTTTTGCCTGAACCAAGTAGTAAAAATCATCTAAAAACTATTCATTTAGTTAGGTTTTAGGGATCCTTTTCCCACTGTTTTCTCTGATTATCTGAGTGAAATGACCAATTGACCAGCTATTTCAGTATCATATAGACATTTGGATAATCCTAACAGCGTGCTGGGTGTCTACCAAGCCTTCTCAAAGGCACTTAATCCCATGTTTGAATCAGTACAATATCATTTACATTAGCTGTCACTACCCAACAGTACAGGAGTGAGGATAAATTAAATATTTGCTTATGTGGCTGCATAAAAAATACATATGAAACAGAAAATAAAACTCACACTACATACAAGTCATCACCACTTATAAGTAAAATTCAACACAACTGAAGCCACTAAACCCTACATCATCCCCTGGGGGGAAAAGCCAAATTTAAAAGCCACTCATCTGTTTTCAGACCTACTCTCTATTGTCAGTGTACAGAGACTTCTGAAGGACTCGAGCCGAGAAACGGTAGAGAGAAACTCTCTGATGATGGGCATTAAAGGAATGTGGCCTGTGAAACAATAAAGCAGGGGATTGCGAAAAAGCTCGGTAGCTCAGCAAACTCACACAGCAGACATAGTTCCTCATCAATGCCAGAAAGTGCTTCTCTTGCTCTAGGAGTTGGTCACTAGCAGCCAAAACATTTTAAGGAGAGAGAGCATCTGTCTTCATCAACTCACTACAGTTAAGGTATATTTACCCACGATACACGCAGCCAAAGAGAAATGTAAACTAAACGGAGCCGATATCTTTACCTCTCCTCGCTGGGTCTCCGTTTCCCCATCTGTAAAATAACAGATTTGGACAGATCGTCCTAAGGGCTCATCCAGCTCTGACATTCTATAACTCTATGGATTCAGCTGCTGGCTCTGCAACTGGTATTGATTTTTTTTTTAAGGGGCTATCTTTAATGTCAAATGATACCTCTTTTTTCTCCCCAGATTTTGGTTTTGTTGGTCATGATTTAATCGCATTTTAATTTTTTGTTTGTCTATTTTTGTATCTCCAATGTTTAGCACTGCATATGTCTGGTACGTGGCAAATCGACATCATGCACTAAATATTGATTCAGTTTCTCTCCTTTCAACTGGAAGTCTTCTGGAGCTCCCGGCAGCATAGAGGAGAAGATTCAGTACTGCTCTTGAACCATCGGGCTGGTTGCTCTCCTGTTGTGAAGCTACTCCTGGGGCATCTAGGTGGTACCTCTTCTAAGTCAAAGCACATCCTGGGACCTGCAGTGGCCATTAACCAGCAAGTGTTTACTGAGTACATTAATGTGCACTGCTCTTTATGAAAATGAAAAAAAATTGTTGGCTCTTAGTTCTGTTCCTTTTAAGTAAGAAATAAATGTTCTAAGTTAGTTGAGGAAGTTATTTGATTCTTCTTTGTATAGCTCACCACTCCTATTACAGGGCACTGCACATGGGGGGTACCCAGTATTTTGGGGTTAACTGAGTTCAATGAATCAATAAATGCCATAACCTTTTCAAGCATAGCATCCTAGACCTTCTGTGGCTATGAAACCTGCTTTCCTCCTTCTCAATCCTACCACGGAGCTAGATGCCCCTTCCCTTTCTGGGTTTCTTCAATGATAATGCCTCTATAATTACAGCCACTTCTCCAAAAGCTTCGTGACACTTTGCCACATCACCAACTCCTTCCACTCGGAGGAGTGGAATTGCCATGGAAAGAAAGTAGGAAGCTGTCATCTGCAGAGATGTCACCCAGTAGCTGGCTGGTAACTAGCTTTCCATTTACCTATTTTAGTTCTGCCTGGGTCTGTTTTTTGAAAGAATTAAAAAGGCAAGACTATATAATTAAACCTCAAAGGAAATAGGTCAAAGAAAGAAGCACAATTTCCATTATCTTTCCAAATAGCTACACGCATTTCAGCCCCTTATGTTTCCAGAATCTGTTTATAATGTACTTTTCTCTATTCTAGGTCACTAAAATGTCTGCCCTGGGATACATGTTTCTGGCTCAAACATCCTAATGTGAGGGGAAAATGAATACAATAGAAAAATAAAGCTTACAGCCTTATTACCAAGCAGATAGAAACTGCCTCATCCACACACACCCACACCTCAGTGTCTCCTTGACATTCTCATCTCAAATCCCTCAGGAGTGTGTGAGTACTAAAGCTCTAGGAATTCTTTCCGTTTTGAAGACAAGCTGCGTTACAGTCCCAGCATGACTGCCCAGTCAGCATTCTCTGTGCATTCTTGAAGCTGTGCCCACGGGTTCAAGCAACATGGTGCCAGCCCCAGCCCGCCCCTAGAGAGAGCCTAAGGAACAGTGGCCCTGTATTCACCTGCTACACCTCCTCTGCTGCCATTTGTCAGCTGAGGATCCAGACTTTGGAGCTGTGAGTGTCCCCAAGGTAAGTCATCAGTCAGCACCTTGGCTAGCTGAGTCTCGGGGCAGGCATCCTCAGGACAACAGTCTCATGTGACCACCCAGCTTCTGCTTAAAGATAGTCAGTGACAGGGAACTTGTTCCTTCACAAACAGCTCTCATCTTCAGAAAGGTCTTTGTATGGAGCTGAAATCAATCTTGTATAATTTTCTCCCACTGGTCTTAGTCCTGCCCCTGAAACAAGTATACTCCCTTTTCATCATGAATTATCTCTTTAAAACAACATAAATAAAACAAAAAGCCAGCATTGTTGTGTACGGAAAGATACAGAAAACTAGGTGAAGAGAACTGGCAGGATAAAATTGATAGAGAAGTGTCTTTGTGAAACCAGTTATAGAACAGTGAAAACGAGACCCTTCCAATCTCTTCTTTGTCCAACTGCCCCTGAACTACTATAAAATTCAACAAGTGTACGAGAAGTGCCTACTCTGAGGAAGGTTCCATGTTCATGCTAGAGGTATAGAGACCAGGTTCCCATCCTTAACAGTTCATGTTCCTCCAAGAGAAGGCTAGTCTAGAACAAAACATAATACAATGTTCACTTACTCAGACAACTCACAGTCACGGAATTATGGGTTATTTTGTCCTTTTGAGATGATGCTTTTTATGAATTAATTATTCACTTAAAATAGAAGTGGAGGAAATCAAGGGAAGTCAGTTTTGGGATCTGGGTAGGCCAGAGAAATTACTGGTGCAAGACCAAGGGGAAACATGCAGACTCTGCGGGTCATGAATCCATGTCCAAGCCTTGGGAGTTGGCTTCCTGGGTGGGAGATGAAGCCCTTGGCTCCCCTAACGTGGTCCTCAGTACAATGCTGGTTGTCTTGAGGGCCAGGCGAGCCCAGAGGACATTTTCTAAATGGGACTGAGTTGAGCAGGTCCACTTGGCTCTCAGCCACTCAGATAGTCTTTGATTTCCAGCCCTTTCTCTCTTCTTCCAGCACAGGAGTGTTCCTATTTTCAGCATAAAATTAGCATAGAGATGAAACCATTTCAAGGGACATACAGTGAAGTGACATAGGAGACATTAAATTTTTCATTTTTAAAATGAAAAAGTTTTCCTTTTTCTTTGAAACCTCAAGACTGCCACTTAATTTGTGTTCAGACTGAACTTCCACTGCTGAGCTGTCAACAGTGAAGCAGTCTGAGGAAGGAGGAGGAAGGTGGAGGAAGGCAGTAGCTATGGGCTGTGAACAGAGCCACCTACCCGTGGGGACATCTAAGTGTCTGCAGTCCATCCTCTGCGCGTCCAGAGACATGCTGACATGGGCCAGGAGTGAACAATAGTGCTGAATAAATCTTCCCTCAAGATCTATAGGGAGGACCTGGTTCAACTTCACCCCCTGTCTGTCTCTGGTTTCCCTGACATCATTTCAAAGGCATCATTGTTCCTCAGGACAGGGTTTCTTGTCATCTCTAGATGCATGGAAAAGCTGCACGGGGATGAACGGCAAATTTGCCATGGAGCCAGCCCTACTCCTTCTTCCACAGCAAGTTTTGTCTTTTTTAGGTTTTCTCACATACCTCCTCTCCACTCTTTGAAGCTCTCAAGTTCTCTCCACTTCTTTAGTGAATTGCTTCTGATCTCATCAGAAAACAATCTCCGAGTCATTAACAACACAAGACGCTAAAGAAAGCTGCCTGCTCCTGGCCCCAAAGGCAATCCCTCTTCAATGTCAATGTCAGGGCTTTTCAATTAAGGGAGCACAGAGTGGCTCAGAATAATACTGAATCTTTACAGCAAAGATTCCATCCAAACAGACTCAGTTCTTCAAAGTTCCATCATCTGATTCCTCTGCTAAATGGTTTAAAAGAGCTGAGAAAGAATGCTTCTATTTGTACCAAGCTGGCTGAAGATATTCGCTCTATCCGAGAGCCATGCAGTGCCCTGGGAGACAGGGGTTGTTTTTAATGCAACATTGCTTATTATGTACGTGGGAGATAATAAATCAACACTCATATAATAGAAAATATTATCACTGTAGATCATATTACTCCAGAATATTGTGAAAACTTAGACTATACTAACCTGCTTTTAGAGTTGTATGTGATAAAAACTGATTCCTAAATAAAACTGCCAAGAAGTGGAGGCAGCAGAAGACAACAGACTTCTGAAGCACCATTATAGTACCTAAATAATACAATAGCTAGAATTTAGTAAGTACGTATTCTGTGCCAGGCATTGTCCTAATGCTTTATGTGAACTAACTCTTTTAATCCTTACCATAATCATGATATGGGTAATATTAGGTCTATTTCATAGAGCAGTAAACTGGGGCACCAAGAAGTTATAACCTGCCCAAGGTCACACATGCCCAGCAAATGGCAGGTGCTGCATGCAAACTCAAGCAGTCTGACCTGAGAATCTTCCCTCTTGACCACCGTACATGCCAATTATATGTTGACAGCTTCTCATGAAAGGACCTAAAAAACGACTACTTTGCATCACTTTCTTAGATAATTATAATTTTCATTAATAACTGAAAGTAGAATTATGTGTCTTTAGACATATTTGAATTAATCTAGAAACATCTGTCCTTGAGTTAGTTCAAATGGTAAATGCCAGAAATGGGAGTGGCAGGCAACACTTCCCTCTACAGCTCCATCCTGAGAAGAATTGGGGTGAAGCCCCTTCTAAACACAAGAGGCAATATGAAGCTTTGGAAGCTGGCAGTATGGGTAACTATTTCCACACTGCTGTTTGAGTGAGTGTGACATAAAGCACAGAGGTGTTATGAGAATGACTGTCATATTTCATAAATTACATTCTGGTATTCACAGGGAAGTCCCTACAAAACTCAACTAATAATATGCATACAGAACAGCAGTAATAATATTGCAAGCAACGCACTGTAAGGATGGGGAAAATAGAAAAAATGAAAAATACCGTCTGTAATAAAAGAGCTGACAGAGAAGAAAAAAGATTGAAAAAAGTGAATTTAAAAACAAGTTGAGGCAGAAAAACTCATGGTAAGAAGTCAATAAAAATTACAGTGGCATAGATCCATGTCAAAGATAAGCCCAAGTAGAAAATCTAAGCAAAATAAACAAAAAAATTTTACCATTTCTTTTTGATTCACTGTAAAATATCTTTTTATCCAGTTGAACATGCTAACTTCTCAAGAGATTAGTTCAATAAAAGGTTCCCCAGTGAAGGAAGGAGGCTGGAATACACCAGCAGTGCGAGACACTCAGGAAGGACTTGTGCCTGAAGTCAAACCACACGTAGACGGTCCCACCCTCTTCACCAGCACCCCCTCACACAGGCCTTGACGCTGCTGGGCTTCTCTGCTTAGCCTTCTCCATTCTACCACACTCTTTCAAATGTTCTCCATTATCCTGAAGCCACCCTGACCAGACCTCCCCTTCACTCATCTTTGGGAAAGTTCTCCAACATACTTCACAGAGTGAAGTGAAGTCACTCAGGTGGGAACTCCATCAACTTCCAGCTACTGAATTGAGAAGCCTGTGGTATCTACACCCACCCTGTTCTCTGTCTCTCCTCCTTTCTGAGATCAACTGTGTTCACCTCCTTCAGCTTTTGGTCTCGTGCCGTCCTGCCTGCTCTTAGGAACATTGCACTAGGGGGTATCCCTCCTCTCTCTCATATAATCAACCTCTCCTCTACTGGATTCTTTGGTTGACTTTTTTTTATTTTTAATAAATTTTACTTCTTCAAGCAGTTTTGGGTTCACAAGAAAACTGAGAGGAAAGTACAGAAATTTCCCTGTACCTCTTGCCCCACACGTGCACAGCCTCCTCCATTATCAACATCCCCCACCAGAATGGTACATTTGTTATAAGTGATGAGCCTATACTGACACATCATTATCACCTGAAGTCCTTACTTTACACTAGGGTGCATTTTTGTGCTTTTCTATTGACTTTTAAACATACCGAAGTTTACCACATTTTTACAAAACTTCCCTTGATCTCATATCCCCT